TACACAACAGACACACACGTGAACAATACATCACTTTTTCACACTGACAATAATGAGAACGAGGCAGATTCAGATTCAGTTTATTTGCCATTTGCAGTAAAAAAACCACATTGGAATACATTAGCAAAAGTCACCAGTGTGCACAGACAAATACAGACATAAAACATTAAAAGACAAAAATAAAACAGTAAACAAATGTCACTGTGAAATCGATCGACTAAAACAGTTTCAAAACAAGTGCAAATCATTAAAGTGCTCTGTTCACACTGATAACAGCTTGTGGATAAAAACTGTTAGCGTAACGAGATGTCCTGCATCTCAGAGAGCGATATCTTCTGCCAGAGGGAAGAAGCTGGAACATGGCTTTTCCAGGGTGGCCAGAAGAGTCATTAACAATCTTAAGAGCTCTGTTTAAAAGTCTGAATTTATAAAGAACCTCCAGAACAGGAAGCTCACAGCCCACGGTCCTCTTTGCAGAGCGGAGCACCTTGTTTAAAGCTCTCTTTTCTTTATCTGTGATGTTTCCAAACCACACAGACACAGAACCAACAAGTAAACTCTCAATGGTGCAGCGATAAAAGTTAATCAGAATCTTAGAGTTAAAGGTAAATTCTCTAAGTTTACGCAGAAAGTAGAGACGCTGACGAGCTTTTTTAACGACTTGGTCCGTGTTTTTAACCCATTTCAGGTTAGACAGAGTTAAACCCAGAAACTTGCTCCTCTACGATCTGCACCTGGGAGTTGTCGATTACGACAGGCAAATGAGAACTATTGCGACTGAAGTCGTAGACCAGTTCACATGTTTTGGATGCGTTCAACTGGAGGTTGTTAGTTTGACTCCACTGAACCACATTCTGTATCTCTGCTCTATAAGAGGATTCATCAGTGTCACTGATGAGACCGATGATGGTGGTGTCATCAGCATATTTAATTATCAAATTAGAGTCAGAGGAAGACACACAATCGTGAGTGTACAAAGTGAAAAGCAAAGGACTCAAAATACATCCCTGAGGAGAACCAGAGCTAACAGAAACAACATCAGAAAAACACTCTCTGAGATCTGTCAGTTAAAAAGCTAAAAATCCATTTACACATGGCAACACTTAAACCGAGAGACATGAGCTTTTCAATCAGTTTACCTGGGACAAGGCAGTTAAAAGCAGAGCTATAATCGATGAAAAGCATTCTGGCCACAGATTTACTATTGTCCAAGTGACTGTAGACAGAGTTCAGAGCAAAGGAGATGGCATCCTCCACACTCCTGTTCTGTCTGTAAGCAAACTGGAGCGGGTCAACACTCACAGGGATCTGGCTCCGAATGAAGTCCAACACAAGCCGCTCAAAAGTCAAAATCTTCGACACAGTCTCAGGATGTTCGGACCCGATCCAAGCGCAGTCCAACTACTGTCACAAGTTTCAACTAAACTTATTCAGGGACAAGCCTCAAATAAAACACACATAATCCCCACAAAACAATCGCCAGAATAATGTATAAGCAGCGTGAGTGAATGTTCTGTTTTTCTTACCTGGTGATGCAGATAGGGCGCAGTGGCTAACGCTAATGCTAACATGAGCTTTGCCGTGTCCTCCGCGGCTTTGTATATCTCCTGCTCTTTTGATCACTCTTTTGATCACCTGGGCGGCACGGTGGCTGAGCGGATAGCACTCTCGCCTCTCAGCAAGAAGGTCCTGGGTTCAAATCCCGGCCGGACCAGGGCCTTTCTGAGTGAAGTTTGCATGTTCTCCCTGTGTCTGCGTAGGTTTCCTCCGGGCACTCCGGTTTCCCCTACCACTAAAAATATGTACAATAGGTCTGGCATGCGCCTCCTGTTCGGCGACCCCGCTCCCATCTCTGTGTGGAGTGAGAGGACAAGTGCCCAAAAAATAACAATTGTAAACCGCTTTGTGACTCTGGTCTGTGAAAGGCGGTATATAAATAAAGCTTACTTACTTACTTACCGCAGTTTTAACCTCACACAGACTTTATTCCTCCACGTGTCTCTTCTCTTCACACCGCGTTTATAAAACTATATATTATAATATATCCATGGTAAAAATCAGTAGAGCCTCTGTGTAGGGTGCTGCTGTCTGAACGCGGTCTTGTTTACGCGTTGCCTCCACACGATTGTGTCAAGTGCCCGAGACGTTTGGAGAGATCCGGTCATTTATCAAACTAAAGTATTCTTTCCTTGGCAGTCTGGTGAAAGACTGAGAGTTGAGGAGCACTGTCAAAAAGTATAGGCAAAAGTGTCCTTAACTCTACAGGCACCCATACTCATATCTCAATATATGAGACTGCAATATAAGATCTCAACGCTAGAGGCACTAGAAATTACACAGAGTACCTTTAAGTTTCGCCTGTATGTATCAATTTTTTTTCCCAAGAGAACTAAAATTTCACATGTATGACATTTAAACTCCTCAATAGCTTTCTAATGGCGCCTGTGTCTGGCTGTGCCGCTGTTCGTCAGCTACATTGTCTGCTGCTATGTCGTTTCCCTGCCCTGTTCCTGGCTTTCTACGCGGCCATGTCTGCTCTAATGGTCATCTATTGTGCCGAGGCTGTGAGGACATATGACCGTGCCTCTCTCTTCGACATTAAAACGTCGATGAAAACCCGTTTCCACTACTGGGACAGCTATAGGAACGCTTTCCCGCCCCCGTTTGGGTATGCTCTCACATCCCAGGATTACCTGTTGCTGTTTCGTCCTTCGGGTAATCCCAAGAAGAGATCGAAGCGCAGAGGCCGCAAGGCTGGTCTCCGGGTCCAGATCAAACGAGCCGCTTGGAGGATGTCCGGATCTACTCGTCCTCCGCGAGGCTACCGGTGGCTGCGCCCTGTCCTGCTCCAGCAGGACGAGGGAAACAACGACGTCCCGCCGCCGCTCCCCGCTGCATCTCCGCACTACGAGGGAGCAGCCTGGACCCGTGGTGGCGCTGATCCCTGGACCCTGACGCTGTTCTGGCCTCCCGTGTTTGTGCCGGCCGGGGGGTGTCCGACTTGCCGGTACAGCTGGACGCCACGTGACCGCGTGAGATGTCTGCGGCAGATTCCACAGCACTCTGCGGATAACCCAGCTGCTTCACCTCTGCGCACCCGCTTTGGATTACTCAACGCCCGCTCCATCGCAAACAAGGCTTTCTCTATTAACGAGCTCTTCTCGTTAAAAAATCTGGACTTTCTTTTCCTTGTTGAGACGTGGCAACGTGAGGATGAGTTCATCCACCTGAAACAGCTGTGTCCAGCGGGCTGCTCGACGCTGGGAACGCCCCTCCCCTCTCGCCGAGGTGGTGGTCTGGCCGCTGTCTTCAGTGATACGTTCACGTGCAGAGCGATGAACACAGAGCATTTTTCCACCTTTGAAGTGCAGATGATGCAAATTGGTTGCACCAACACATTTGATTGTATTTTGATGTATCGCCCCCCTGGCCCTGCTGGTGCATTCTTAGCTGAGTTTTCTGACTTTTTATCATCCATTCTAAGACTAGAAAAGGTTTTAATTCTTGGGGACTTTAATCTGCACATTGATGATCCCTCTGGCCCAGCAGCAGATTTTATATCTTTGACAGAAGCTTTTAATTTTACACAGCATGTCTCAGGCCCTACACATACGAAAGGTCACACCTTAGATCTAGTTTTCTCTCTTGGTCTGCAGCTTGATAATGTGAGCGTTGATGATGTCCACCTCAGTGACCATTGTGGTGTATTGTGGAGTGGCTGCATAGACTATGCAGCCACTATATGCTATCCTACTGTTTATTCTTCTTCTTTCACTTCCGCCAGATTTTGGCACTTTTCAACTCTTCAACGCTTTCACCAAATTCCACAAATTACAGTGCCTTGCGAAAGTATTCCGCCCCCTTGAACCTTTCAACATTTCGCCATATTTCAGGCTTCAAACATAAAGATATACAATTTAAATTTTTCGTCATGAATCAACAACAAGTGGGACACAATCGTGAAGTGGAATGAAATGTGTTGGATAATTTAAACTTTTTTAACAAATAAAAAACTAAAAAGTGGGGCGTGCAATATTATTCGGCCCCTTTACTTTCAGGGCAGCAAACTCAGTCCAGAAGTTCAGTGAGGATCTTTGAATGATCCAATGTTGTCCTAAATGACTGATGATGATAAATAGAATGCACCTGTGTGTAATCAAGTCTCCGTATAAATGCACCTGCTCTTTGATAGTCTCAGGGTTCTGTTTAAAGCGCAGAGAGAACCATGAAGACAAAGGAACACACCAGGCAGGTCCGAGATACTGTTGTGGAGAAGTTTAAAGCCGGATTTGGATACAAAAAGATTTCCTAAGCTTTAAACATCTCAAGGAGCACTGTGCAAGCAATTATATTGAAATGGAAGGAGTATCAGACCACTGCAAATCTACCAAGACCCGGCCGTCCCTCCAAACTTTCATCTCAAACAAGGAGAAGACTGATCAGAGATGTAGTCAAGAGGCCCATGATCACTCTGGATGAACTGCAGATAACTACAACACATTTAGCACTTTACAACAAATTCAACACCTTACAACACATTTAGCACTTTACAACAAATTCAACACCTTACAACACATTTAGCACTTTACAACACATTCAACACCTTACAACACATTTAACACTTTAAAACAAATTCAACACCTTACAACACATTTAGCACCTTACAACACATTCAACACCTTACAACACATTTAGCACTTTACAACAAATTCAACACCTTACAACACATTTAGCACTTTACAACACATTCAACACCTTACAACACATTTAGCACCTTACAACAAATTCAACACCTTACAACACATTTAGCACTTTACAACAAATTCAACACCTTTCAACACATTTAGCACTTTACAACGTATTTAGCACTTTACAACACATTTAGCACTTTACAACACATTTAGCACTTTACAACACATTTAGCACTTTACAACACATTCTACACCTTACAACACATTCAGCACTTTACAACACTTTCAGTCCCTTACAACACATTCTTCTTACTTCTTCTTCACTTCTTCCCCTTCTTCCTCTTCTTTCCCTTCTTCCCCTTCTTCCCCTTCTTCCTCTTCTTCCCCTTCTTCCTCTTCTTCCCCTTCTTCCTCTTCTTCCCCTTTTTCCCCTTCTTCCCCTTTTTCCTCTTCGTCCTCTTCTTCCCCTTCTTCCTCTTCTTCCCCTTTTTCCTCTTCTTCCCCTTTTTTCCTCTTCTTCCCCTTCTTCTTCTTCCCCTTCTTCTTCTTCCTCCTCCTCTTCCTTCTTCTTCTTTCCTCTTCTTCCCTTTTCTCTCTTCTTCCTTCTTCTTCCCCTTCCTCTTCCTTCTTCATCCCTAACCCTTCCAACATCTATGCAGCCACTCACAATGGCTTCAGCCATTGTACCATTTCTAGTTATTCTTCTTCCCCTTCTTCTTCTTCCTCCTCCTCTTCCTTCTTCTTCTTTCCTCTTCTTCCCTTTTCTTTCTTCTTCCTTCTTCTTCCCCTTCCTCTTCCTTCTTCATTGCTAACCCTTCCAACATCTATGCAGCCACTCACAATGGCTTCAGCCATTGTACCATTTCTAGTTCCGTCTTCTTACATCTTCCACCAGATTTTGGCAATTTTCAACTCTTCAACGCTTTTACCAAATTTAACAAATTATACATCGGTATGACCGGCTTCACCGTCTCATTATTGCTATTACTTTTCACACTTCCACCTTTTTCACTTTTTCAGATATTAACAAAAGTTCAAGCACTTTTTCCCATCGACTTACATTGGACCAGTACAACAGATTACTCCCCATACAACACATTACCACACTAACAATTCATTACCACAGATACAATACATTACAACATCTTACAACACTTATAGCACTTTACAACACTTACAGCACTTTACAACACTTACAGCACTTCACAACACATTCAGCACCTTACAACACATTTAGCACCTTACAAAACATTCAGCACCTTACAACACATTAAGCACCTTACAACACATTCAACACCTTACAACACATTTAGCACCTTACAACACATTTAGCACTTTACAACAAATTCAACACCTTACAACACATTTAGCACCTTACAACAAATTCAGCACTTTACAACACTTACAGCACTTTACAACACATTCAGAAATTTACAACACATTCAGCACCTTACAACACATTTAGCACTTTTCAACACATTCAACACCTTACAACACATTCAGAACTTTACACTACTTTCAGCACCATACAACACATTCAGCACTTTACAACACTTTTTTCACCTTACAGCACATTCAGCACTTTACAACACATTCAGCACTTTACAACACTTTCAGCACCTTACAACACATTCAGCACATTCTGTGACAGTTTTGACCCCACTGCTTTTGAAGACTGCACTGAAACAGAGGCACTGTTTCACTCTTTTAACAGTCACTGTGCCTCTGTATTGGATGAAGTAGCCCCTTTTAAAACAAATAATGTGGACCATCCACAGCCCTGTCCCTGGATTAACGACGCCATTGGGAATCCGAGGAGAATGTGCCGTAAAATTGAACGACTGTGGCATTCAACCAGGCTGGAGGTCCATAGACTTCATTTAAGGGACCTTGTTTCCTCCCTGAATGATTGTTTGGATGAGGCCGGATCTAGTTATTTTAGTAAACTGATTGTCTCAAACAAGAAATCCGAAAGTGCTCTTTGACACAATCAGTTCTCTCGTCTCTCCTCCTGTTTCTGCTGTGGCTGTGCAGTGCAGGGCCAGCTGCAATGAGTTCCTGACTTTCTTTGTCAACAAAGTCAGAGACATAAAGGCTAAACTCCCCTGTTCCCCTCCTTACAGTCAGGCCCAGCCTGACCCACCTCCTCACAGTTGGTCGTCTTTTAAGGAAGTCACCCAAGAGGACTTTCTATCTACAGTGAAGAACATGAAAGTAACCCCTTGTTGCCTCGATGTTGTCCCGGCCCGACTGCTTGTCAATGTTTTGGAATCGGTTGCTCCGTTAATCGTCAAAATGTTTAACCTTTCACTGTCGGCTGGTGTGTTCCCGGGCTCACTTAAACACGCTGTTGTGAAACCCCACCTATCTCTAAGATTCCATTCTTGGCCAAAGTTCTGGAAAAGGTCGCCTCTAACCAACTTACAGCATTCTTGGAGGCTAACAACATTTTCGACACTTTTCAGTCTGGTTTCAGGAAATTTCACTCGACTGAAACGGCACTGTTAAAAGTGTCCAGTGACATTATGATGGCTGCCGACTCTGGTAAATGCTCCGTCCTGGTCCTGCTAGACCTGTCGTCTGCGTTCGACACAGTAGACCATAACACTCTGTTTGAGAGACTACGGGATGTGGTCGGCATGTCAGGCCCTGTGTTAGAGTGGTTTAGATCATACCTGACTGGTAGAACTTTCTGTGTGTCCTCTAATAACACGATGTCAGAACCAGCTGACCTGCAGTCTGGTGTACCCCAGGGCTCAGTTCTTGAGCTTATTCTATTTTTGATTTACTTGCTCCCTTTAGGCAGGCTGATCCAGCAGTTCAGTGACATTTCTTACCATCTGTATGCTGATGATCTTCAACTGTACTGCTCGTTTAAGTCTTCCGAGCCCCAGAAGCTGGATTCTCTTACAAACTGCTTGTCCAAAATTAAGCTATGGCTCAGTGAGAATAGCCTCCAGCTGAACTCCAGCAAAACTTATTACCTAGCATCTCGGCGGCTTGGGCAGCTCCGTGAAGAAAAGCCTGAGAAACCTTGGTGTAATTTTTGATGAAGGGATGTCCCTAGAGCGAAATATTAATTAGCTGGTAAAGAACTGTAATTTTCATCTGCGCAACATCTCCAAGCTCAGACACATGGTCTCGAGTCATGAGCTTGAGACGATCATTCATGCTTTTGTGTCCTCGCGACTGGACTACTGCAACAGCCTCAGTAAAAAAGGCTTGGCTCGTTTGGCTCTTGACCCGCACCCACAGGAGAGCCCACATTTCCCCCTATATAAATACATTTTACTTACTTACTTACTTACTCAAAATATTCTCTTCACACATTTGCTTTCAGACATGAATCAGGCATTATTGAAACAAAGAAAAATGTCAAAGAAAATTCTACCATTTTCTACCATCACATTTTACTTCTCTGTTTAATATAGTACAGACAATTACCTGAAATACTATTAGGTTCCATATCTAATAGGTTAAGGGTTTACCGACAGTGGAGTTCTTAAGATGGATTAATAGCACGGTAAAAACAGCACAATAGCTCATGATATCACTGTCGTAGTATGAAATAATACTGACAGGATTTAAAGGAGATTTAAACTCAAACAGGCTCCTCAGGCGAAAATCTGAACCATAGACTGTATATCGACGGACAATACAACCCATTAGGGAAGTGCTCATCAGTGCACCTGCAACTTACTGGGCACAGGGAGACAAGTAACTAAGTAATGTTTATTTATATACCGCCTTTCACAGACCAGAGTCACAAAGCGGTTGACAATTGTAATTTTTTGGGCATTTGTCCTCTCACTCTACACAGATAGGAGCGGGGTCGCCAGTACAGGAGGTGCATGCCAGACCTATTGTACATGTTTTAGTGGTAGGGGAAACCGTAGTACCCGGAGGAAATCTACGCAGACATGGGGAGAACAGGCAAACTCCACTCAGAAAGGCCCTGTTCCGACCGGAATTCGAACCCAGGACCTTCTTGCTAAAAGGCATACCAGATCACATTGACAAAAGGGTGGACACAGGGAGGGGAAGGACAGCACCGTACCACACTCCACCTGACATGGGATCTGGACCTGGACCGGGACCTGGACCACAGCCCTCGCCCCACGAGAACACCATGAAGCTGAACTATCGCAGGAGGCAGAGGACGGTCTGCCTTTGCGTGTAAGTACCATATTTATTGAGTAGAGGAGTTCACGAAGTAGCCTCAGGCAGGAGACTCGTTAGGGTGTGTTGGCGTTGGCTGTGCGGATGTGCTTTGCCTCCAGGTTCTGCGGCACCCCGTGGGACGTGATCCACCGGGTTGAGCACCGCAAGGCCTAATCCAGACGGCGGTAAGTGTGTGAAAGCAGCGGTGCTCATGATTTGGTGCTTGTGTGTGGTTGCTGCTTGGCTTCCTCCCCCTTGATGTTGCTCTGCTCTTGCTTGCAGGATTCAAGAGAACGCTCGGGAACCTGGGCTGACCCGACAACTCCCTTGGATAATTTTAATTACCACTTCTTTTATACACACAATTTTAGTTTTAACTAACTTAAGTTTGAATTTTTTTACAAACCTGTTTTTTTCTCTCTCGCCTCCATTTTGGGTCATAACCTTTTAATATTTACGGTTTTAAACTCCACACCCCTTTTGCAATACCTCATTTCCTCTACCACACAACAGCCTAGGGAAAGAAACTGTTATGGCGGGAGGCACCGTAGTCTCCTGCCTGAGGAGAGAGGTTGGAACATGTGCAGGGTGAGAAGGGTCGGGGTCGTAGAGGTCCTGCAGCGATGAGAGGCCAATGATCTTTTCTGCAGAGCTCACAATGCGCTGTAGTCACTGCTTGTCCCTGACAGTGGCTCCAGCGAACCACGGAGGAGGTGAGGATGGACTCGATGATGGCCGTGTTGAACTCCACCAACATCTGTGCAGGCAGCTTTGCTTTTCTGCTTCTTGATGAGGGAGCTAATGGTCGGCTCCCACTTGAGGTCCTGGGTGATGGTGGTGGCCAGGAAATGAGAGGACTCCACAGAAGTGAGTCTATCAGGGAGGGCAGGAGGACTGTTCTCTTCCTGAAGTCAACAATCATCTCCACTGTCTTCTGAGCGTTCAGCTCCAGGTTGTTACCACTGCATCAGGACGCCAGCCTGTCCACCTCCCTCCTGTAGGCGGACTCATCGGTGTTGGAGATGAGTCCAATGAGGGCGGTGTCGCCCGCAAACTTGATGAGCTTAATAGAGTCGTGGCTGCAGGTGCAGTAGTTGGTGTACAGCCCCTGTGGGTCTCCTGTATTTGTAATCCGAGAGTCCGAGACATTCTTCCCTTGACGCACACAATGCCTCCTGTCTGTCAGGAAGTCAGTGATCCACCTGCAGGTGGAATTAGGCACGTTGAGCTGGGAGAGCTTTTTCTGGAGCAGGGATGGCAGGATTGTGTTGAAGGCAGAGCTGACGTCTACAAACAGGATCCTGGCGTATGATCCCAGGGAGTCCAGGTGCTGTAAGATGTGGTGGAGGGCCAGGTGTATGGCGTTGTCTACAGATCTGTTGGCTGTGGAGGCAAACTACAGGGGGTCCAGGAGAGAGGAGGTGAAGGACCTGAGGCGGGGGAGGACCAGGCGCTGAAATGACTTCATGACA